CTTGCACTTTAGCACCAAAATTATACCCCGAAAGCACTGTCTCCTAAAACACGAGGACAACAGCTCCAACTCCTTCCTCTGGATGTGCGAACGCTCCAGGAACTGTCGGATATGAATCTACGTTGTGCACCAAATATCGTTCCCGCATCGTGATCGAAATAAGCGAACGGTGACGTGCCGTGTATGCCTGCTTTTCCGGATACCCGCACCGATAATGAAGTCAGAAATTTATATGGGGAGGACGTCCACACCAATAATTATTAATCAACTCCTCATTTCTGCAGCATTCTGAGATTTTGAATGGCAAATAAGTTTTATTGCCTTTTACGTGTTTTTATGCGTTTTGCGTTGCGGCGCCAGAGCGTTGCAGTGTCCAGCAAAAACGCATACTGTGATGATCCTGTATGTGTTTGTGTGTATGTTTGTACGTGTGTGTGTTCGTCTGTCCGGGTATTTTTATTCGACAAGCAAACAAGCTTTGAAGCTGAAATTCTGCCAGCTGTTCTCTGGCTAAATACGACCTCAAGAAAGTGATAACTTTCACGTACGTCCACATTTCACGTACGGACCCGTGGAAGTTTTGGCGAGGAAACCGCTAACTCGGGAACGAGAACAGCAAGGAAGCTCGAATTTTAAGGGAATATTCTTTGTTCTCATACGATCAAAAGGTTTCAAATTCAGCTCCTTATTACGCTCGGGTCTCATCACAAACCCGTGAAAATTTTAAGACAAAATTTAAAACTTGAGAAACAGAACAGCGGGAAAGCTGAGACCTTAAGAAAATGTTCGCTGCCAATGCACGACCGAAAAATTTCAAATTCAGCTCCTTAATGTGCTCGAGTTGCATGTATGGACATGTGGAAATTTTGACATGAAAACTGCTGATTCAGGAAACAAAAGAGTTAAAAAGCTGAAATTGTAAGGGGATGTTCCCTGTCCATGTACGACCAAAAGATTTCAAATCCAGCGTCCTAATACCTTTGCACCCAAGTGTGAATACGTGAAAATTCTGACGTGAAGTTAAAATATGGGAACCAGAAAAGTCAGAAAACTGACTTTTTTAAGGAGACGCTTCCCGCCCACGTACAAATGAAAAATTTCACATTCAGCTCCCTACTACAACTAGATTCGATGAACAACCAACCATCGAGTAAATCTGTAGTGGTCACGCGTTTTGAAGGTTAAGATTTCATGTGGCCACGCTATGCAGCTAGCGCCCCAGCCGAAGCCCTTTCCCCTTTGGACGCAAGAAAAAGCAAAAATGTGTTGAACTGTAACGCAGTCGACATGGGTTCACGGGCTAAACTGTAAAGCAGAAGCTATTTACGCTGTTGACGATCTGACTGCGTCATGTTTAGCGCAAAAACGCATTATCGCACCGGCAAGCCTGGTGCGTTGCTGTTTGGGTTTGATGTGAAACAGTGAGGATGGAGGAATAGGTGCTGGAAGTGCCGTTGGAACAGTTAGCCAGCAGCTGGCGATGAAGCATGCTGATGAGTGAGTTTTGCATCGGAATCTGGAACAGGAAACTGATAATGGAACATTTCCTAGCATGAAACGACCTTGGGCGACAGCACTCTGTTGCAACTCACTGCGCAGCAGCCGATAAAATCAGAATTCCGGGCGAGCAATGGCATCTTCGTTTTTAAGTCCTGTTTTCCAGAAACGCTCTCTACCGGCATTCCACTGGCCTGTGCTGCAGCAAGCAGTAGTTTTATTCCAGGATCTAAGGAATGAGAAATTAGAAATTTTGGTTGCTCGCTTGTAAGGCTTCGCGAGTAAACGTCTACCTGCTTCTCAGGAAGACCTGAGCCACGTTCCCCCACCGTTCCGTCAACTCTCCCACTTCTCCAGTACGTATAGTCCGGAAGAGTATTTCCATTCGTATAATGACCAGGATGGTTTATCGGGGTTAACCACCTATCCTCTTGCTATTGCCGCCAGCCTGAGATACCGAAACTTGATTGAAGCGAGGGTAGCTGGCTGAGAAGCACAATCCCTGAGGTGGAGTCAGCAGCATCAGCAGCAAGTGCCATGAAGGAGCTGCCATCCCGGTGGCCAATGGCGGCTGGAAGAAGGTCGACTGCTGGGACGGGGAGGGAATGTGACTGGAAGCTCCGGGAACAAAGGAGGCACGGCGCCACACAAAGGGCCGTTCCCGCCGCTGCTCACAGAGGGTGAGGGAGCACCGAGGGCCTTCCTCCTCTTTATTCCACCCCCACAGCATCCTCCTCTCTTTGTCCATAAAAAAAATCGTGCACCGTCGACGACTGCGCGATGGGCTGAAATGAATTCGCCAGTGCGAAATGATACAGCACCGTTCGGTTCTTGAAGTGGCGCTGCTCCTTGCCAGCTGCTACTACTGCATCCTGGCTTGGTACCACCGTGGTTCGGTCCTTCACATCTTCGGTCTTTGGCACGGTAGCTTATGCCGCCGCATTCTCGTAGCACTGGATGAGAAGTGACTGCGTTACCTAGAATACCCATGCTACTGCTGCTGCTACTGCTTTTACTCTTTGCTAACTTTATGCTATTCGAATGTTCCATTTTCTCTGAGTGCATCAGTGCATCAAATTCTCCCGAATGCTAGGCCAGCAAAGCTGGAAGTGATTCTACTATTGTGCCCAGTATTTAAAGCGTTGACAGCACTGGAGGCGCATCATGCTGTTAAATTCTCTCTGAATCCGCGAAACGAGCGGCCAAAGCACGAATCGTCGAATCTGATTTCTCGTACAGTTAAGCG